TTTTGGCATTTTCACATTTATTTTCACATTTTATTGCGCAAAATGTCATTTTCATCTATTTCTTCAATTAAAATTTGTGAAATGACGAATATACCCTTCTCTTTAAATAAAAAAAAAAAGAAAAGAATAAATTATTTGCAATCATAGTTCCAAAATTTTTTAAAAAGTGCAAATGAATCTCAAATAAATTATTAAAAAGGTAATTAGTACATAATGTCCCTATCTTTCACCGTTATTACGAAAAACGTCCCTATCTTTTATTTTTTTGCATTTTCACCCTTAATTACACATTAGATAGTGCAAACCATCATTTCATCCAATTTCTCAATAAAGAACTGTAAAATAATGAATATAGACTCATATTTAAATAAAATATATATTTTTTCATTTCTAATTTTTAAATAAATTTAATTGAGACTCATTTGCACTTTTTTAAAAAAATAATTTTTTTAATAATTTATTGGGGACTCGTTTGCACTTTAAAAAAATTGAACTATGGTTACAATTAATTCTTTAGCTTTTTTATTTAAATATGGGGTATATCCGTCATTTCACAGCTTTTTATTGAGCAATTTGATGAAAATGAATAAAAATGATAGTTTGAGCAATTAAATGTGTAATTAATGGTGAAAATATCAAAAAAATAAACGTTAGATTTTTTTGCAATAATAGTGAAATGTATGGACATTATGTGCTAATTTAACATTTAATAATTTATTTGTGACTCATCTGCTCTTTTAAAAAAAATTGGGACTATGGTTACAATCAATTTTTTTCCTTTTCCCTTTGCTTTCTTTAGAAGGAAGTGTATATTCGTCATTTCACAATTTTTAATTAAGAAAATAGATGAAAATGACATTATGTGTGATGAAAATAATGTTGAAAATACTAAACAATGAAAGGTATAGACGTTTCCACAATGACAGTGAAAGGTAGGGACGTTATGTGCTATTTACCCTTTTTTTTATATATATAATCAAAATCATTAATCTTTTTTTATAAAATCAAAACGATCCAAATTACTCGATTTGATTTGGTCGGATCGGTCAACTATACAGAGCGAGGTGATAGGTTGTAGGCTCATTGTTATAAAATCAAATTGGCCCGCCCTGCTTGGCAGGCCCGATGAACTTGCGATTCGAACCCTTAATTGGGCTGAGTATAATAAGGGGTACTTACAAAAATATCATTAAAATTATGGATGTTTTGAAAAATCATATGAAAGGTTTTTAGGAAGTAAAAAATACTGTGTAAAATGAAAAAGTGACACAATGTCACTTTTTTTTTAAAAATTGTCACTTTTTTAAAAAGTAACACAAACTCAAAAAAAAGTGACAAAGCTAAAAAAAAGTGANCATTTGTGTAGCACCAGTAATCGTGTTCTTAAAATAATCAGCATGTCCAGGTCAATCCACATGCTGATTATATTAGAAAAATATAACATTATTTCACTTTTTTTATCTTCTTAAAAAGTGACAAAAACCTAAAAAAAAGTGACATATGGAGGAACGTAGACTTGAATATGCTTCCCCCTAAATTGTAATTCAATTCATGCAAATGGAGAGATACAATGACATGTGAGTGTTTATGTGTGTATATTCTATGTATCATACAAAAATCATGGCATAATTAACACAAAAATACATTTGGAACAATTAATCGAACACTTGATATGCACAGTAATTGAAATGAGTAAAATTTTCTCATGATTTTATACTAAATCCAAATATTCCACAACTAATCTACAAAACCAACATCAGCAACGCCCATACTCTCAACAAAACTCAAAAAATTCCAACAATGAGCAAGAATTTAAGACAAAGAAGAAAAATTTCGAAACTCATATAGTTGAGTCAATTTACATATAAAAGTCTATATACGAGGGGATTACACTTGAAAGTTTCCAAATAACAATAGCATGAAAGGAAGTGCCTAGCCTCTCTCTCTCCCAACGTGGTCACTTCAAGTCTTCTGTTCGTCCTTCTGTGATCGTGTGTGTTTCAGCCTTTGCAGATTTAAGGTTTTTTTGTTTAATTGATTATCATTCATGCAGAATAATACATGGTGCTCATATTTTATTTGATGATACCACTTACCAGTGAGTTGAATTTCCATAAAAACTCCACTGCCATGGACAGTGACTTCAAAGAGAAGCTGCTGAGTTCAGAAAAGAAAGTGTTGGCTGAGTTCAAAGGAAGCATTTCTGAAGAATCAAAGAAAATATGGAGGATTGCGTTGCCTGGTATTATTTCAAGAGTGGCTTCATTTGGAATAGTAGTTGTTACTCAATCATTTATTGGATAAGACGTAATTAATACTTCATTAAAATGTTTAATTAAAGTTTAAGGGTATTAATCAAAACACCTATAAAAAAAGAGTATTAGGCCTAATATTCCCGTATATTATATGAAAGGAATGCAAGTGACCAGACTTTTAATTCGCCAGTTTTTGGTTAAATCGTGGACTCGATCCGGCCCAATTGATTAAACAAAATTTTAGTTTGAAAATTTATATTCACATTCAGCCCCTGTTTGGCTCCCATCAAATTAAATTACATTACATTAAATTTTTCTCTCTCTTCATTACAACCACACATTCATCAAATAAAATAATATTACACACAAATCTAAAATTTTTCATTACTTTTCTACAACACTTATGATCAACATTATGACAAGTACCCCTGTTTGGCCCTCATTAAATTACATTACATTACATTAAATTTTTCTCTCTCTTCATTACAACCACACATTCATCAAATAAAATAATATTACACACAAATATAAAACTTTTCACTACTTTTCTACCACACATTCTCCCATCAATCACTATTCCAAAAATTTTCAATTATCAAAAATCCCAAATAATGGGGGCCAAACAGCGGCTCAACCATTACGGTCAAATATTTTGAATTGAATCTTAACTCATGTCTAGTACAAATTCTTTAAAATTATTTTTTTTCAAACTCACTTTTACCTACAAATTCTCACAATAATATAATTTTGCACGTGACCTCGTAACTTTTTTCCTACTTAACCATACAGTCTCCGAAAAAGTTATTTTTTATAAAATATATTCTCAGAAATCTAAATCAAATAGATAGACTAAAAAAATAAAAATAAATAAAACTCAGCTACAAAGGGTAAATAAATCTATTTACAAGCTATTGGATCAAAATCTAAACTCCAAATTGTTGATTAGTAAAATAGACAATTAACAGATATAGATAGACCACATTGAAGCATTAATTAATAATTGTAAACAAAAAGTTATTTTCGTGAATTGCATATATTAAAAACTAGTAATATTTAATGAAAAAATATTATTATTCCAACACTTCAAATATGTCAAAGATGGACTCGTAGAGTTTATTGTACCAAATGCAATCACACAACACGACAGGGTCAAGAATTTAAATATTTTTTACAAAAACGACCAATATTAAAACCCAAATATTCTATGTACTGCAAAAGGAAATTACCAAAATAGGAATAAAAAATTGCGTCGCTGCAACAAAATTTTATAGCGGCTGCTCCCCGTTAGAATTAACGGCACGGGCACCACACCGTATCCATACTGTCCTTCCTCCATCACCCACCATTGGTATCCGGTAATCCGCCGACACAGCCACAGCACTCAAATTACTGAATTATTCATTTCTCTTTTCACCTCAATTTCGGCACCTGCATCCACCCCGAAGTTCCCGGTCAAAACCATACCCGGAATTTGCAGAATATCTACCGGAGGCCCAATACTCGGCTGATACTCCTTATCAAACCCAAATAAATAGTCCGGGTTCAGAGACGTGCCCGGACCCGATTTTTTCAAACCTGAATTCGCAGTAGGGATTCGAGGACTTGAAATATCGAAGACGAAAAGCCTGAGTCGGACGGGTTTGGTTGAAATTGTGAGCATGCGGTCGTACTCCACCATCATTTGCTCGACGTCCTCATCGTTGATTAAGGAGACCAGCGAGTCAAGATCCTCGCCGGGCAACTGGTACTTTATGCAAACCTCAGAATTGTCATTGATGTTGCAGAGGGAATTTAGTTTTCCTGCCATTTCGGAGAACTTAATGTTACAATCGACAGTGAGGATTTTGATGTCGCCTCCGATATAGGAGAGTTGATGGTCCGATGGCCTTGGCTGAATCTTTCCTCCATAATTGCACATCAATTTCACTTTGTTGTTATTCATTTTTTATTTCTGCTTCTCTCAGAAGAATATTAGAAGAATGAGAAACGCAAGAACTCGACTAGGTTTCCGTAGGTTGGTTTTTTAGGCAAAATTAGACCGCTTTACTGCTTATAAAAGGAAAATTATTGTAACGTCCCCAGATTTCTCAAAATTGTGGAAAGCTTTCCCCTAATTTTAAAACTACAAAAATCTCTCTTTTAAGTAAATAGTTAGTTGGCCAAGAAAACTTCATGAAAAAGCACTACATATTTTGACCAAAAGTTGGAACAATTTATTATTTTTAATTGATATTTAGTTATTAATTCCTTAATTTTGGCCAATAATATTTTGTAATTATTTTTAACATATCACTATCATTTTTATCTCAAAGGTTTCGACATTAGAAAGTAAACTATCTAATATTGTTTTGTAGAAATAGTTATTGATGGAATGTAGAATATTCGAGGTATTTTTCAAAAAAAAAATCGAGACCCCTAAATCAATACACATACCTCCAAGCCAAATCTTTAAATTGATTTCCGTATCCCTCCATAAAAATATACATTCATGGAAAAAAAAAATTTATGAATAATTAGCACATAACATTCTTGTCTTTCACTATTATTATCAAAAATGTCCTTATTTTTTGTTTTTTGACATTTTCACCCTTATTTTCATTTTTCATTGTGCAAAATATTTGTTGCATCCATTTTATCAATTAAAAGTTGTGAATTGAAGAATACTCTCCTATTTAAATAAAGCAAAAAGAAAAAGAAAGAACTAATTGCAATCATAGTTTCAATTTTTATTTTTTTAAAAAGTGCAAACGAGTCCTAAATAAATTAGTAAAAGGGTAATTGGAGCACATAATGTCCCTACATTTCACTATTATTGTGAAAAATGTTCTTATCTGTCATTTTTTTTTATATTTTCACACTTAATTACACATTTGATTGCACAAAACATCTCTTCTATCCATTTTATCCAATTTCTCAATAAAAAGTTGTGAAATAACGAATATACCTTACTATTTAAATATAAACTATAAAAATAAAAATAAAGAACTAATTACAACCATAATCCATTTTTAAAAAAAAAAACTGTAAACAAGTTTCAAATAAATTATTAAAAAATTATAAATTAATTTTTTTAAAAAAAAAGTTATAATGACTCTCAAATAAATTATTAAAAATTAGAATTATAAAAAAAAATATAAAGTGCAAATAAGTCCCAAATAAATTATTAAAAAATAATTTTCTTTTTTTTTTAAATTTAAATATGAGTGTATCTTCGCCATTTCACAGCTTTTATGGAGAAATTGGATGAAAAATAATAGAAATAATGGTTTGCGTAATTAAATGGTGAAAATGCCCAAAAAAAAAAAAGATATAGTTTTTCATACTAATAATGAAATGTATGGACATTATGTTCTAATTACCTTTTTAATAATTTATTTGTGATTCGTTTGCACTTTTTAAAAAATTTGGGAATATGGTTTCAATTAGTTCTTTCTTTTTGTTTTATTTAAATAAAATTGAATATTCGTCATTTCACGGTATTTAATTTAGAAAAATGGATGAAAATGACATTTTGCGCAATAAAATGTGGAAATAATGGTGAAAATGTCAAAAAATGAAAGGGAAAATTGCGGCCGCGGTCCCAAACCTTTCATTTTGTTGCAGATTACACCCAAACCTTTAATTTTTGCAGTCGAAGTCCCAAACATTTATATGTAATAGCAG